AGAATTCAAAGATATAGCCGTGTTAGTCTGTAGAATCAGTATGTAGCGAGATCCTTTAGCACCTTTGAGACTAACTGAAAGAAAAAAGTTGGCAGCATGAGTTTTCATAGACTGTAGTTCTAGTCTATAATTCTAGGATTGGGAAGTAGACTGTGGTCTACGAAAGCTCATGCTGCCAACTTCTTTCTTTCAATTAGTCCCAAAGGTGCTACATGTGATACAGAGGAAAATTGCACCTCTGTTTATTTACTCTGCTCTCCTGCCCCCAATGGCTTAAATATCCTAAAGGCACCAGTTCCCATCTAATCTTGGAAGCTCAGTAGGACCAGCCCTGGTCAGTACTTGGATGGGAGACCACCAACAAATACCAGGTGCTGTAGGTAATATTTCTGAGGAAGGATGGAACTGACAAAACTGCCTCTAAGTATTCCTTGCCTATGAAAAATTAATTGGGTCCCCATAAGTCGACAGGCGACTTGAAGCACTTAAACACACATACACACCCTGCCCCCAAGGGTAGATCGGTGTCCCCCTCTAGTGGCAATGGCTGATTAGCTAATGAAAGCACTTACCCAAGGTACATAGCCCTAAGAGGGCTCCAATAGGTCATGGCTGCCTTTCAGTCTAAGAATTCACCAGTAGGATTTTGGCATTTTCCAGACTTGCTTCCATATAGTCCAATGTACAGAGCCACCCATTTCCTTTTTCCTCACAATGCCTCCAGACATGCTTAACCACAATGGATTTATTTGGAGGATTATTACTTTTCATTTGTCAGCATTACCCCTTTTGCTGTTTTCCAGCATTCAAGTTGCAATGACTGGAAAACAGTTATTCTTAGCTCATCAAACATGATCATCATGCCAGTTTAGGATGTGTATGGACAGCAGCAGTACTAGCCACTAAGTGCACTCGTTTCTATTAGAAATTATAAGCAATCAGTAGTATGTACTTTGAGTAATTACCTTTACTGTAATTACTACTCCTAGTAGTAGCTACCAAGTACTACTACAACTTCTAGTAGTAGCTATAACTCCTCCTACTAAGAGCAACTAATTTCCTCTATTGCATGGCATCCCTCTCATAATTTTTAAAGTTTATTCCAAGTCCATGCTCTGATTACTCACAATTTTAAAAATGAAAGTTTTTTTTAAAAAATGAAAATTAATGTGGTTAGATAATATTTATTTAAATATCTATATCTCATCTTATATCTACAGATCTCAGGGCAATAAAACTGACTTCAGTAATTAAAAACAATTCAAAACATTCAAAATGAACCATCTAAAAACACTGAAAAGCAGAGCAATTTAAAAGAAGAAAGTTTAAAAGCAGTTGAAACATTTCTAGAACAATTTAAGACATTGGTAGGGAAGGCATAATTCTAGGAGTGGGAAGAGCCAGCTTCTGGGTGCAACTACACTGTAGAAATAATGCAGTTTTTGACACCACTTTAACAGCCATGGGATCCTGGGATCTGTAGTTTTGTGAGGCACCAGCACTCTTTGGCAAAGAAGGCTAAAGACCTTGCAAAAGAATAAATCCCAGGATTCAATAAGATGGAGCTACAGCAATGTGCTTGCGGGGGAAGTAGAATGAGCAAGGAGAGGTGGCACTGTAGGCCAGATGTGAAGGCTCCATTGGCCACATCTGGCATGTGGACCAGAAGTTCTCCACCTATGATTTATATTTCATAGTGACAACCCAAAAACTGCATAGAAATTGCCAACTGTGAGTATGGATACTTCCCATCACATTTCTTTCCATAACTGGGCTAAGACACCCCATCCTCATGTAAGTTCTTAAGCACATGTCCCAGCCTCACACTATGAAGTCTCTTGTTCAAACTCCAACATTCCTGATATTCAAATTTGCTTTATTTTGCCTTTAAGGGGAATTGTTGTAATCTTTCCCTTTTACCCAGCACCCCTCCATATATTTCTGGCAACAAGGGAAAGACTCCCTTTCCTTTGTGTGAAGGGTTTCCATCAGTAGCAAAGCCTTCAGCTCCCTACCACCACCACCACCTACCTTTCTGTGAACACAGTCACTGTTTTCTTGTGGTTAGCAGCACATGTCAAACACTGCTACCTGAGAGTGAGATCATCTTCCCTACTCTCAAACAGAAAAGTAAAAAAGTGGTTGAAAGCAAAACTAGGTGATCCTAGTACTATGCTGCCATGTCTCCCATTGCGCATCTAAATAAAATACATTGGCCCCATAGTATCTGCTGGGGTTTGATTCCAGGACCTCCCATGGATTCCAAAATTTGTGGATACTCAAATCCCATTAAATACACTGCCATAGTGAAATGCTGTCTTTTCTATAAAATGGCGAAATCAAGTTTTTTTTTTTTTTGGGTGGGTGGGTTTGAATTTATGTATTTTTTCACATTTTCAAACTGTGGATGGTTGAATCCATGGATAAGAATCTGTGGATATGGAGGGTTGACTGTAGATGCAGAGCTCAGCCAAGACCTTTTGCTGCATGAAGCAAAGGACCAGAGCCATATCTCCAATCCTCAGCATACCATAGCTTGGAAGAGAGGGTTGAATCTTATTTCAGCAATGGTGATAGGTCAGCTTCCTCCACCACACATGAGTAGCTTAGATCATGTAGATCAATGATCACGGGGCACACTCAGCTCCATCACCTTGCCACCACTCCCATCCACCAGCATCTGCAGTCTAAAGTGAATGCCTCACTCCACCTAATGGTAGGACTGGCCATGCATATATCATTCCTCGCTTTGGCTGCTGCCAGACTGCAGAAATAAAGCAGTTTGACACCACTTTAACTGCCATGATTAAAAGCTATGAATTATGGGATGTGTAGTTTTGTGAGATAGTTAGCCTTCTCTGTTGGCGAGCTCTGGCACCCTATCAAACTACAAATCCAAGAATTCCATTGCACTGAACCATAGAAGTTCAAGTAGTGTCAAACTCTGTTATTTCTGCAATGTGGCAGCTACCTTTGTTTATCTAGACCAGTTGTAGAGAGCCTATCCCATGTGAATAACCATTAGTCCAGGGGAGACAGAGTCAGTTGGGGACTTGCATGCACTTGCTCTCTGAGAGAAAGGGAGAGAGAAATGTTGAGAGAGAAAATAAAAAAATTGAATTTGGGCAGTCGAAGAACAAGAGTGGATCTGAAGTGTTCAGAGAGCTAAATGATGGTAACAGACCCAGCAGATTCCCCATTCTGTATCTGTAGAGACTTCCCCAAAAATGAAATGACAGTTCCCTGCTCCAAGAGTCTTACAATCTAGAACATGACACAAGAAAGACAACAAAAGAAGGGAAGAGAATTAGTGGCAAGGTTAAAAGGAAGGATAAATATTGTTGTAATCATACTTAGGCCTAGTTTCAATGAGGTTTGGTACCTAAGAGATTCTACCAAACACTTCAAAGAAAAAACTCTGATTTCTGAGAAAAAAATTTAAAGGGCGTGAGAAATGGCCCCATGAAGGCTATTTGAATGACAATAAAAGGCAGAAGGGAAAGAGTGGTTGAAATCATTTGAAGATCAGGAGAGTTAGCGCAAATGATTGTGTTTGCAGGGGAAGGCACCCTGGAATCTTCAAAATAAATTCCTATAAGCCACAGCATGTATGACCAATGATCAGGCATTTTAAGGGCTCTACTCAAAAGCCTCTGGAAGGAAACAGGTTGCCTACCCCTGCTTTAGAACACTTGCTTCTCAAACTTTAGTCCTCCAAAAGTTTTGGACTTTGGACAATTCCTGACCATTGATCATGCAAGCTGGGGCTTCTTGAAATTGAAGTCCAAAAGTGTGAAGGAGCAAAGTTTAAGGGCTGCAAATGCTAGTTTAATTATAAGCTGCCAGGTTCTTGGAGATAAGGCAGGAGGTTGGTTGGCCTCTTAAAGAGATTCAGTACCTTGGAAAGCTCCCATCAAGCAGCCAAGGAGAAATTTAA